CTCTCTCTCTCTCTCTCTCTCTCTCTCTCTCTCTCTCTCTCTCTCTCTCTCTCTCTCTCTCTCTCTCTCTCTCTCTCTGAGCACTCACTCTCTCTTTCTACTGCAGATCAACCCTCTCCATCTCTCTCTAAGCACTCCCTCTCTCTTTATTGTGGATCATCCCTTTCTCTTATATATATCGCGAATGTCTCCCTCCCTCTCTGTCTACTACGGAGGAGCAACCGGGCAACAAAGATGCCCGCATCTGACATAACCTCCATGGGTCTAGAGAAAGATGCACCCTGCAGCACAAGACACATTAGCTAAAGCAATTTCAATCTCACTCCTGCTGTTGTTATTGGGTCTTTGAGGATGATTTCCCCCATTTTGAATATAAAGCATATTGCAGTAAATGAAAATGTGGTCATACACATTTTTTTTTTTTTTAGAGTTAATGAAATGCCATTGTTTCAGTGGATTTTGATTTGAAACGTATTTCCTCCAAACTTTTGATTTCTTCTCTGCATTCATTGTCTCAATGGATTTTGATTTTTGCATTATCATAAATACCTACATTGGAAACTGAATTGTGTATATGAAATGCCAACATTGGATTTTTTGTCACATTTGGGGGTTTTGGGTTTTCAGTCATTGAATGTATTACACAAAACCACAATCATAGAGATTACGTATAAATTAATATATCACATAATTTTTTGCCACATTTGGGGGTTTTTGGTTTTCAGTTATTGAATGTATTACACAAATAAAAATACTATGATCATAGGAATTATGTACAAATTAATAAGTATGCGAATTTTTTGCCACATTTGGAGGTTTTGGTTTTTCAATCATTAAATATGTTACACAGAGCAACAAAAGTAGGATCATAAAAATTCTGTACAAATTAATATATCACATAATTTTTTCTCACATTTGGGGGGGTTTTGGTTTTTCAGTGATTGAATGTGTTACACAGAAAAATAAAACTATGATCATAAAAATTCTATAGAAATTAATATATGACAAAAGTCTGGTAGCCTG